CCTTTTAAAGATTACATATGAAATTTCGTTGCCTGATAAAGATTACATATGTAACTTCAACTTCTGATAGGGATTACATATGTAGCTACAACGTCTGATAAAGATTACATATGTAACTACAGCGCCCTTATAAAGATTACATATGAAACTTCGTTGCCTGATTAAGATTACATATGTAACTACAGCGCCCTTATAAAGATTACATATTTGACTACAATGTCTTGTCTGATAAAGATTACATATGTAACTACAACGTCTGATAAAGATAAAACGACGGAATAAACAACGAAAAACACAACTGATACACCCGATTAAATTTTATTTTGAGCCGTGAACATAAACTTCCTTTTCAGAAAAATATATGCGAAGTCGTGTTCCCAAGTCTGATCTTTGAAAGCCGTTTATTCACCGGAAGTTGGCTGCTGTAGACAACTACCGAGGCATGTAAATGAGCCAAAGAGTAGGTCGTCGTTAGGAAAACAAATTACATTAAATACCAAGAAAGTGGATCAGGTGTAACAGAGAGTTGTTTGACGTGTGTACGTGCAATGTATGTGCTGTGATGCATGTGGCGCAGATATCGCATGCTATTAATTATATATCCTACAGACAATGACACCAGGTAAAGAGTGTCAAACGCTTCGGCGTATTTTATAACATTAACAAAAATACTAAATCGGGTTGTCGACGGCTCCATTCAAAACAACATCCTCTTTATAAACAAACATATCTTCTCAGGTCATCTTGTGTTCAGTTTTATAACAGAGGCCGAGAATCCCACTTTACCTTAACTTGGTCTACGTAGCAGATCTTTAAATAACTTAATTGTAATATATTTTTTAAACAACTGAAACAGACCTGTTATATCTTTTATTCTATTGTTGTAAATTTTTTGCGCTCCTTTATTTTGTATATTCATTCGGAGTTATTTACATTCTTTGTACAGAGTTTTACGTTACTGATCAAACAAATAAATTACATTGAAAGATGAAGATAGTGTTGAAATGCGTAAAAAACTTAAATTTTTATTAATTTTCAAATTTTAGGAAATTACTAGTTCATTTCAAGTAAAATATTTAGTTAAAGATATTTATTATGAACCGTGCATTACACAAAAGAGATAAATGTAGCTATCAGTGTTACAGGCAAACCTCGGGGTTAACAGTCATGTGTAAATAATCTTCAGATTTAGGCTTGCCGTTAGCTTTTTGTTTTGGTTCAGGTACAACAAAACTGACCAATTGCTAGGTTGATAGGTGTTCGTTGAAGATTACGGAAGGGCTACACCCGAACATTAAAGCCGGTCAATTTTAACGATGCGATACTGTGCGATACCTTTCATCCTAAAGAATCAGACAAGTATACACGAAAAGGTATAGGGTTACCTGCCCGACCATGGATGTGGGTTTTCTCCAGGTACTCTGGTTTCCTCCCACATTAAGACTCCGCGCGCCAACATCCGGGCCAACAAGAGTGATTAATTAATAAAAGTTGAAATAACTTGTTTAGTAGTTGTTGTAAAATAAATATAAAAGTGTACTAAAAAACAATCCGCAAGGTGGCGCGCATCGATCCCTCGATTTTGTCTGGACAAATAAAGGGTGAAGAGGACAAATACATACGGAAGGCGAGACCCTTTAGAACATGCAGGGTCTGGGACTTACACACTTAACTTTCGAAACCATAACGATTTCGAGTCTCTGCGTGGAAGCAAAAGACCATCGTTAGATAATCGGCAAAAGAAACTATCTTTGCACTTTTTACTTAAATCAAAATCAAATTCAGAAAATAAAGCTTTATCACTTTTATTCCAACCAAATTGTAAAACTCGATTCGGAGGTAAACCAAACTGTATGCCGACTTTTGCTCTCAGCAATAAGTTTCTTTTGGAAAATGCCTAAATTTATGTCGGCACAATTGCATTTTTCGGAACAATTGATATTCTTTTCGGTGGCTTCTGAACTTGTCCGAAGTTTGACTTACTCTTGACGAGATAAGTAAATCTGATAATAAATCCGATGTAATCGTTCTCCGTTCCGAAGCTTCAGCTGAAATACCAGGACTTTCAATCATTTTATGCTGAAGGTTCATAAACAGATCATAAGGTCGCCACCACCATGGCTGTGAAAGTTGCTGCTATTTAATAATAGCTACCAAATGATGCATCAATATTCTCTGCAGAAGGCAATACTATACCTCGACCACACTTGAATACATATTAACCAATGGTGCACTGCAGGTAAGTATCTATTCGTTATTACATAATGCTGTATACCCGAACAGTTAAACTTTCGCCTTTTTCGCCCTCCGTCATGGGATACTATTCATAGAAGCTACATGTAAACAAATTCTTCCAGTGAAGGGCGAACATTTGTCTTGGCGAAAGTTTCCCGCCATTCAGTACTACCCAGAATGCTGTATTGTATTTTGTTGAATCCCTTAATATGATAGATAATTTACTACTAACAGGTAATTTTTAACTCCGTTTTACAGATTTTTAAACCACTTATAACAAAGTCTGAAATAGACCGATGACAAAGTAGTTAGAATCAATTACATTAATTCAAACCTTCAAACGGTGAGTGAGCAGTGGCTTAGCTTTTAAAGATGGCGCCGAGACGAGATTGCCAATATATTATGCCTTCATAATTATTGATACACGAGTACAAGCCCAATGCATAGCATATCACAAACCATTTACAACACAGCACAATGTATTAGACTGTATTGATCTTCTGCGAAGACGAGCTCTGTTTCATTGTACGAGTAGTGCAACAAATTTTGAATCTCTTTATGAAAAAGTAAATAATATTCTAATCCACTTGAAAGCTATCTGTCTGTTCCAAAAGTGTAACTAACCATAGTCACCCACCTTTAATATTTGTTTTTTTATTTACGTTAGAATTATTGAGGTTTATTTTGTACATTTCGTTTTGTTTGATGTTAATTCCTATTTTCAGACATTAACCTTTTCTATTGCCAATGGGCTGTAAAAATGTAATCATAATAATAATTGTCGGTTTTCCTCCGTTTCTAATCTAAGGCATGACTCAAGTATTAATGATTAAAGCTATTTACATGAACTAATTATCTGTTTATATCATTAATGTGATAACGTCACAACCTCATTTTAAGGGGAAGAATCAGGCTTACAATGTGTCAAGGTGAAAGGTCAAGTAGAACAGAAGATGACGGATATACGATACGGGAAGGAGAAGAGGAAAGGATGGGTCGGGTACCAATAAATGGCCTAGGAGGTCAATGGAAGGGTTGAAGTAACAATCTAGTAGATATCCTGGGTAACGGGTGTAGAAAGGGTCTAGAACAACAGGTGAAGATCGACGGAATCAGGGAATTCAAGAGAAGACAAACGCTGTGTCCGATCGGGTGCCCCAAGGTCATCTTCTATACTCAAGGGGTTACGCTCACTTTCGCTCTCTGCACCCCTGGAATATGTCATAGCAAAATTGAAGGCTCGGTGTGGATGAGACGAGACGACTAGTTTGAGCATTTGATGTCAATCAAAAGATTGACTTGCTTTGCTATCAAGCTCAGTGTTCCCCCTGAGACCAAACAAATAGCTAGCCGCGTGCCTTCAATTTTGCTATGACATATCCAGGGGTGCAGAGCGCGGAAGTGAGCGTAGTACTAGAGTATAGAGGACTTACCAGGGTGGATCTAGTGTAGCATTGTAAATTGAAGTGTATATTGCAACATTAGTAAATTAAGTGTAGCAAGGGTCGCATATCGAGATAAATACTTAGCGGAAGGACCATAATGTTACCAATATATTAGCTCAAATTAATGTCTGTGTATCGGCCATAGCGGTTTTTATATCTCTCGCGTTGATAGGAATGTGATCACGTGAATGTGGACACTAAACCGTTACCAGTCGACCAAGTTTGGAATGTTGTTGAGCGACTTTGGGCTAATTATATCGTAAAACTGCGATGATATCCTCTAATAAGGATATCAGACATTAAATTTTATACCATTTGATTTGAATAAGGCCATGGAATAACCGTAATTAAATCTGTAACGTTAAAAACAAATCAGAAACGTAATATAATGCAAAAGCCCTCATACATGATTATATATATTTTCCCTCCTTACATTAAGTACTAAATATCCTGACATGATGGGCTAAAACTATAAATTAAGAAAAAAAAATGAAGACATATTTGTTTCTGGACATTGTGACAATTCTTTGCTGTACAAAGACATGGACGTTAAAAAAAGATGTGTCTCCTAAAATATTGTTTTCCTCACTGATGTCGACACTTTTTTCTGTTGTTCTTGAGAAAGACCATACCGGCAAATATGGTACTTACTTACTTACTTGTTTTAGCACTAGTTCAAGTTCTTTTTTACTGAAGTTTTACAATTTATTGCAATTCTGACAGATAAGACAAAGACACTCACAAGGACACACTCACACTGACTCGCACACATCATCCTCATCATCAAGGACACTCTAACTAACTCGCACACATCCTCCTCCTCCTCCTCCTTCTCCTCATCGTCATCCTATCAGCAACAGCAGCAGCAATCATTCGTCATTCATCATACTCACATTCATACGCACGCCAGAACATGTTTCACCCTCATTCACCCAGACAAGACTTATCAATATAATGGTATATTATAAAATTTGTATTCAATACACTGATATACAACATGTACCTTAACATGACCTGTTCTAGTGATGACCTCTTAATAAATCTGCTCTACGTTTAAACGTTAGTGATAAATACTTTCCTAAAATTATTAAGTTCTTTTGTGTTTTCGATTTTGAGTAATTGAACGGATTTAAACATGCTAGGCCTTTTGAAATTATATTGCCTTATGAATTTAGACCGGAGGTCTGAATAGCGATTACATTTAATTATAAAATGAAATTCATCTTCTATATCATTTTCATTACATAAAATACAGTAGAAGTTCTTACCAATTCATATAACATACAATCAAACTTCCTAAACTATAATAATTGTACTCACAGTGACCCTTGTCTTCAGCTCCATGGCGTAACTGTCCAATCCCAGAATCAACGGTATCTGAGGACCCATGGCGTCACTGTCCAATCCCAGGATCAACGGTATCTGAGGATCCATGGCGTAACTTCCAATCCCAGGACCAACGGTAACTGAGGATCCATGGCGTAACTGTCCAATCCCATGATCAACGGTATCTGAGGATCCATGGCGTAACTGTCCAATCCCAGGACCAACGGTAACTGAGGATCCATGGCGTAACTGTCCAATCCCAGGATCAACGGTATCTGAGGATCCATGGCGTAACTGTCCAATCCCAGGACCAACGGTATCTGAGGATCCATGGCGTAACTGTCCAATACCAGGATCAACGGTATCTGAGGATCCATGGCGGAACTGTCCAATCCCAGGATCAACGGTGTCTGAGGATCCATGGCGTATCTGCCAGGTCAGAAGATTTGTTGCCATTGACGTCTTTCGAAGGTATTTAATAATCTCGGTCACACCTCAGGAGAACGACGTGGTTAAATTTCACTTCCTTGTTGGTAAAGTATGTAGTAGCGGTTGTTTTTCTACATTATTGTCATTCAGAGGTGCGCAGGTACAGCTGTGATGCAACGAAAGGAAATACTGCATTGAGCTATTTGCATTAATTTCCATTTTTCCTTCATGAAAGAAAGATAAATGGAAAAGTTAACTTGAGAATTTAGGAGCTTTATCATTGGCGGTACCATCCATATGAGAACACGTCACCACAACCGCCTGCTATAAAAATCTATATGCCAACAACGTGCAATGTACCTGTGGTATGATGCATGTGACGCAGATATTGCATATGTTATTAAAAAGGCGTGTGATTTATATGCTTTAGAAAACAAACCCTCACTGTAAGATGGGTTATACGACATCAACAGATACTAAATCAGCTAGTTGACCGCTCCGTTCAAAACAACACCATCATATTGACATACATCTCAAGTAATCTTAAAAAAGTCGGAAACCTGATCCACAGGATGTTCTGGTCTATATAACAAAACCCAGTTGTGTCTCACCTGCCACACTTCGTTGTTTACCTGGGCAAAGAGTTTTGTTAACCGACTCAAGACTGTCTTGTTAACGTCCAATAAAGCATTCCAAAAGTTAAATTCATACATATTCAATTTCAATATAAGAAAGGGAATTTAACAAATGCTTTAATAGTTTACAACGCTTTGCTTCGTATACCTGTCTGTGTGTCTTATTAATTGGGTTCAGAACTCCTATTTCAAACTCGATATACGTCAATATCTATATAGACCGTCGATATGAATGGATAACAGCGAGAAGTAGAGAAAACCGATCAAGTGGATTGTCTATAAATAATCGGGATGGATCTAGTGTAACGGGGCCAATCTAGTGAAATGATGGATCTAGTGTAATACAAGTTATAGGTGTGGATCTAACACAACAGTGTTTTATCTAGTGTAACGGGGCCGACATAGTCTTTAACAGGGATTGATCTATAGTTTAACGATATATCTAGTGTAACAAGTGTTGATCTAGTGTAACAGGTGTTGATCTAGTATAACAGGTGTTGATTTAGTGTAACAGGGGTTGCTCTAGTGTTACAGTGGTTGATCTAGTGTAACACGTGTTGATCTAGTGTAATAGGTGTTGATGTAGTGTAACAGTGGTTGATCTAGTGTAACAGTGGTTGATCTAGTGTAACAGGTGATGATCAAGTATAACAGGTGTTAATCTAGTGTAACAGGTGTTGCTCTAGTGTAACAGTGGTTGATCTAGTGTAACAGTGGTTGATATAGAACAACAGGTGTTGATCTAGTGTAACAGGTGTTGATAGTGTAACAGGTGTTGATCTAGTATAACAGGTGTTGATCTAATATAACAGGTGTTGATATAGTGTAACAGGGGTTGCTCTAGTGTAACAGTGGTTGATTTAGTGTAATAGTGGTTGATCTAGTGTAACAGGTGTTGATCTTAAATAACAGGTGGTGATCTAGTGTAACAGGGGTCGATCTAGTGTAACAGTGGTTGATCTAGTGTAACAGTGGTTGATATAGAACAACAGGTGTTGATCTAGTGTAACAGGTGTTGATCTAGTATACCATGTGTTGATCTAGTATAACAGGTGTTGATCTAGTATAACAGGTGTTGATCTAGAGTAACAAGGGTTGCTCTAGTGAAATAGTGGTTGATCTAGCCTAACAGATGTTGATCTAGTGTAACAGGTGTTGAACTAGTATAACAGGTGTTGATCTAGTATAGCAGGTGTTAACCTAGTGTAACAGGGGTTGCTCTAGTGTAACAGTGGTTGATCTAGTATAACAGGTGTTGATCTAGTTTAACAGGTGTTGATCTAGTATAACAGGTGTCTGTCTAGTGTTACATGTGTTGATCTAGTATAACAGGTGTTGATCTAGAGTAACAAGGGTTGCTCTAGTGAAATAGTGGTTGATCTAGTCTAACAGATGTTGATCTAGTGTAACAGGTGTTGATCTAGTATAACAGGTGTTGATCTAGTATAGCAGGTGTTAATCTAGTGTAACAGGGGTTGCTCTAGTGAAACAGTGGTTGATCTAGTATAACAGGTGTTGATCTAGTTTAACAGGTGTTGCTCTAGTGTAACAGGGGTTGCTCTAGTGTAACAGTGGTTGATATAGTATAACAGGTGTTGATCTAGTGTAACAGGTGTTGCTCTAGTGTAACATCGGTTGATCTAGTGTAATAGTGGTTGATCTAGTGTAACACGTGTTGATCTTAAATAACAGGTGGTGATCTAGTGTAACAGGGGTCGATCTAGTGTAACAGTAGTTGATCTAGTGTAACAGTGGTTGATCTAGTGTAACAGTGGTTGATATAGTATAACAGGGGTTGCTCTAGTGAAACAGTGGTTGATCTAGTCTAACAGATGTTGATCTAGTGTAACAGGTGTTGATCTCGTGTAACAGGTGTTGATCTAGTATAACAGGTGTTGATCTAGTATAGCAGGTGTTAATCTAGTGTAACAGTGGTTGATCTAGTGTAACAGGTGTTGATCTAGTGTAACAGTGGTTGATCTAGTGTAACAGGTGTTGATATAGTATAACAGGTGTTGCTTTAGTGTAACAAGGGTTGATCTTGTGTAACAGGTGTTAATCTAGTATAACAGGTGTTGATCTTGTTTAACAGTGGTTGATCTAGTATAACAGGTGCTGATCTAGTATAACAGGCGTTGATCTAGTATAACAGGTGTTGATCTAGTATAACAGGTGTTGATCCAGGTTATAGTAATATATCTAGTGTAACGGGGGACAGTGGTGGGCCTTAAAACATGTGTAGCTTACTGAATATCCTGACTGAAAGGGCACTGCGTGTAATTAAAAAAAATACGGGTAACGTTCATCATGACTGGTAATGACTACAATGTTATAATTGATATCATATTCATATACGTTGAACACGTATTATAATTTGTTATTAAAATGGAAAAGTTAGGAAAATCAAGAGTACATGTTTTATGCATACAGAGTGTATATGTTCTATTTCTTATTTCTCTTGTAGCAAAAGATGGTGGCGTATGAAGACATAAATGTTTCTGAAATTGAAAATCAAAGGCGAACAAATGTTTGTATCTTAATACTTTCAATTTCCCTCATTTTTCTTATCAGAACTGTTTTTCCTTATCTTATTATTTTGACTGAGGCCGTTAAGACCCATTTATCAAAGTTGCTACTTGATCTAATATATCTAATATATATATATATTTACAAATAAATGCGACACGCAAACAAACTCCTTATACTAGATTACATATACTCACAATGTGCCTTGTTCGGCGGTGTCTACAGATCCGTGCCTGTCCAATCGGAGGGTCAACGTCGTATGCAGATATATTGCAGAAAAACTGTAAATCAGTTGGTTTGGTGTCATCAGTGCCTTAGGCAGTTGTTTTTTAAGAGAATGTTCATCATCGTTACCTCGGATGGATTTTTTTACAGCAGTGTCTTTCCCAGCTAGGACCCTCAACAGTGTATCCAGTGTCCTCTCCTACCCGTACGGAACCTGTGGTACATACAGACAGTGGTACGCTGTTGTCGAGGAATTTACAAAAGTACGGAAGCTCATAACACAAAGAACGTCAGATAATAACAAGTTGGTCAGGTGGCGCTGTGGATAGCGCACTCGTCTTTTACCGGGGGCAGTCGGGATTCGATTCCCCGATCGGATGTGAAAAGGTATGGGGTCACCTGCCCGACTTCGTGGGTTTTCTCCGGGTACTCCGGTTCCCTCCCACGTTAAGGCCCCCACGCGTTAACAGTCGGGTAAACATTAAGGGTGATTAATATAAGCTGAAGTGTTTTGTTATATAATTGTTGTTAAGTAACAAACAAACAAAAAATCAAAAAAATCTGATATACAAAAATTCATATAGCGCTCTATCAAATTTACAAAATTACACTTTACAGAGCATTATAATGATCGTTCTAAAGTTTCTGGAGCGCATATCAAAATAAAAGTAATAGTAATAATGTAAATCGTTTATATAGCGCTATATCCTGCTGTAGGGCGCTTTACACTATAAAGAATACATGTACAATTAATATAAAATACATATAAAATACTTAGCCCGATTTTCAAGAATACAGTTTCTTTATACAATAAGCATACATGACGTTCATTTATATATATGTATGTATAGAGGGTGACCTTGCGTATCCAAACTACCGACGAGAAATACGCTAGTTACTGCTAATATTGATGGTATTACTGCAATTCTAAAACGTAAGCGGGCTAAGAGGACATCGATCCGACTATTCCGTCTTTGCGTATTGCAGAGTTATCTTCTCTTGGGAGCAGGTATTGATTGTTACGTCATTGGTTTGTGTAAGAAAATGGCGTCGTTTTTTCAAAAATTGATGACCTTACTCTCACAAACAAGTGACGTAACAATCAATACCTGCTCCAAAGAGAAGATACCTCTGCAATACGCAAAGACGGAATAACTGACGATGACGTCATTTTTGACACCCACTCTATCTTGAAAAGTTTCAAGGCATAACAGGGATGTATACAAATTTGTTTACTCTGTAAAGTTTAGTTTGTTTGTGTTTTACGTCCTATTAACAGCTATGGTCATTTAAGGACGTGCCAGGTTTGGTTTGTTTGTGTTTTACGTCCTATTAACAGCTATGGTCATTTAAGGACGTGCCAGGTTTGGTTTGTTTGTGTTTTACGTCCTATTAACAGCTATGGTCATTTAAGGACGTGCCAGGTTTTGTGGTTGAGGAAAGCCGGAGTTCCTGGAGAAAAACCACCGACCTACGGCCACTGCCCAACGTACATGTAGGACTTGAACATGCGACCCAGTGGTGGAGGGCTAATGGTAGAGGAATGTCAGACGCCTTAACCACTTGGCCACCGCGGACCCCATTTCTGTATTGAGCATTCTTTTGTAAAGCCTTCCACATTATAATATACATCACAATTTGTACAAAATTAATGCAGTTGGTCAGGAGAGTAATACTTGTTTTATAGTTTAACTGGTCAGGAGAGTAATAATTGTTTTATAGTTTAAACAGTTTCAGCAACGGACTGTTAACAGTGGTTTGCCTCGTGCGGGAAGGGACATTTACTGCAAACATACAGGCATGCAATTCGTATTTCTATTCTTCCACGAACCCTAGGGAATATCAAAGAAAAATGATAATATTTGACGTTGAAAGTCTGCCCTGGATACAGGTAACCCACAGGGGCTACCGTATATTTGACTTTTTAAACATCAACCAGGAAGTGATTCAAAATCTGCAGGTACAATGTTTGTGTGCAGACAAGCGTAGTAACTCGAGATCAACAGATCAGCGATATACCCTAACATATCTCTACGTATCTGTGTCTATGCCAGCTGTTGTATCTTAGCTAAGGCCGATATATCGGGGTAGAATTATATTATTGAATTTCCATATTATAAGTAATACATTTTCTAACTCTTATCTTTGTTGATATAAGGAAACCATCTGTAACAGCGTAGCATCGTGATCTCGTGTTTTCAGTTTGCGTGCTTGGATCACAAGTATCCTCGCAACCTCGTGTTTCAGTGTCGATAACTCATTAAAGATAATTTAAAACAAATGTAATTTTGTGATAGAAATCTTCCACTATGTTAGCCTAGACTTAGCCATTCTAAACTAGTATGGCCTTCTCCCCTTGTGTTCGTGTTCCAATATTCATGTTTATGATTTTGTAAAAGGACTAACATAATTAAAGAAATCCTTATGGCTGCTCCATATTTATCATTTTCCCTCGTCTTTTTTGTATTTCCTTGGGAGGGTTTTAAACGAGGGCTTTACTTTGTCCCCTACTCTTACATATTTGTTGTATGCGCCTTCTCCTAGTTTCAATATAACTCTGTCTACGATTTTTTGTGTGCCGTTCGAGTTAAAACCTAGTGCAATGAAGTATGAAGCTATGTAAACATGTCATTTGTAAGAAATCGTCAGAAGTGTGTTTGAAACTGTTTAGTGCTCTGCGCAAATACTCGGATCAAACACGTGTTCATAGTCACGGAATGATTACGTTCCTCTGTACTTTACCTTTCCATTGAATAAATTCTGATGATGTAAAAATTCTAAATTGCAAGCCGAAAGCTAACTTAAAATCTTTTGAATATCTTAACCGATACCGGGCACTAACTTTAAATACATAAATAATAATAATAATAAGTAAATGCATGTATTTGTTGTTCAGTTTGTACGTGTGGACATCGTGACAATTGTTTGCCGTATAAAGACATGGAAACTGCATCAAGTTAATAGAAAACGCGAAAGAATATGTGTAAAACAAAATACATCTCCATGCAGCACAACCGCAGGCATACATGCATAGGGAGATATTAGCCAGGTGGCATAGGACAACTACTGTAGTTAGCGTCTGATAAGGAAGTTCCTACAATTCCTCAAAATTGTGTTGATTAATGTGTTAGATTTATTGAATGTACGTGTTATTTGTATTGATTGTATAAATGTGTACTGTTAAGTGCTTTAGAGTGGCGTGTACTAGCTCATCTTCGCTAGCTAATGGTTACGATCCGGTACGATCCGGTCTTCCGTACCGGATCGTAACCTTTGGCTAGCGAAGATGATTCTAGCTAGATAGGGCGCTATATCAAATATATATTCATTTACATGTATTTATGTATCTTTCTCAATTTTTCTCTCGCTAGTTTCAAAACTTTTTTCTCGCCGTCTTACTATTTTGAATGGGATTTTAAAGGTTAGATAATTTCGTTAAACTTCGGTACTTTTATTTCTTCTTTTTAATACTATTATAGTTCTTACCAATACAAACGTCAGACAGACAAGTGACTTGCTCTGTCACGATGGACATGGGCCCGTATTCATGAAACCGTTCTCATGCTCAAGCATGGATTCTGTGCTCAAACTAACTTTCTTTTAACACACTTACATCATGTCAAACGATCAAAAAGTCAATTATAAACATTGAAAACAGTATTTGGCTTTAAGTCTCCTTAATATTTTTTCAAAATCATTGACAAATAGAGATTTGTTTATTAACTTATAACCAGAACAAGAAATTAGGCTTGAGCATAAAATCTATACTTGAGCACGAGAACGTTTTTTATAGGCCTTGGTCTAGAGATCCATACCAGGGTAACTCTCCAAACAAAGGACCAAAGATGTAAGCGGCTACGTGGCAGTGTATATTTCCACTCAGAGGTTTTAGTGAAACTGATGCCCTTGTCAGTTTTGCTGGGAACATTTTTAAATCTCGTTTCACAGCATCTAATCCGGTGTCCTTCGCACCAGTACAGAATCTGTGGTACAAGGAGGTATAGTGGTACAAGGAACCTGTGGTACAAGGCGGTATAGTGGAACAAGGTGGTATATAGTGGTACAAGGAGGTATAGTGGTACAAGGAACCTGTGATACAAGGAGGTATAGTGATACAATGAGGAGGTATAGTGGTACAAGGAGGTATAGTGGTACAAGGAGGTATAGTGGTACAAGGAACCTATGGTACAAGGAGGTATAGTGATACAAGGAGGTATAGTGGTACAGGGAGGTATAGTGGTACAAGGAACCTATGGTACAAGGAGGTATAGTGATACAAGGAGGTATAGTGGTACAAGGAACCTATGGTACAGGGAGGTATAGTGGTACAAGGAACCTATGGTACAATGAGGTATCGTGATACAAGGAGGTATAGTGGTACAAGGAGGTATAGTGGTACAAGGAACCTGTGGTACAAGGAGGTATAGTGGTACAAGGAACCTGTGGTACAAGGAGGTATAGTGATACAAGGAGGTATAGTGGTACAAGGAACCTGTGATACAAGGAGGTATAGTGGTACAAGGAACCTGTGATACAAGGAGGTATAGTGGTACAAGGAACCTGTGATACAAGAAGGTATAGTGGTACAAGGAGGAGGTATAATGGTACAAGGAGGTATAGTGGTACAAGGAGGTATAGTGGTACAAGAAACATGTGGTACAAGGAGGTATAGTGATACAAGGAGGTATAGTGGTACAAGGAACCTGTGATACAAGGAGGTATAGTGGTACAAGGAACCTGTGGTACAAGGAGGTATAGTGGTACAAGGAACCTGTGGTACAAGGAGGTATAGTGATACAAGGAGGTATAGTGGTACAAGGAACCTGTGATACAAGGAGGTATAGTGGTACAAGGAACCTGTGGTACAAGGAGGTATAGTGGTACAAGGAACCTGTGGTACAAGGAGGTATAGTGATACAAGGAGGTATAGTGGTACAAGGAACCTGTGATACAAGGAGGTATAGTGGTACAAGGAACCTGTGGTACAAGGAGGTATAGTGGTACAAGGAACCTGTGGTACAAGGAGGTATAGTGATACAAGGAGGTATAGTGGTACAAGGAACCTGTGATACAAGGAGGTATAGTGGTACAAGGAACCTGTGGTACAAGGAGGTATAGTGGTACAAGGAACCTGTGGTACAAGGAGGTATAGTGATACAAGGAGGTATAGTGGTACAAGGAACCTGTGATACAAGGAGGTATAGTGGTACAAGGAACCTGTGGTACAAGGAGGTATAGTGGTACAAGGAGGTATAGTGGTACAAGGAACCTGTGATACAAGGAGGTATAGTGGTACAAGGAACCTGTGGTACAAGGAGGTATAGTGGTACAAGGAGGTATAGTGGTACAAGGAACCTGTGGTACAAGGAGGTATAGTGGTACAAGGAACCTGTGGTACAAGGAGGTATAGTGGTACAAGGAGGTATAGTGGTACAAGGAACTTGTGATACAAGGAGGTATAGTGGTACAAGGAACCTGTGGTACAAGGAGGTATAGTGGTAAAAGGAACCTGTGGTACAAGGAGGTATAGTATTAGAAATATCTTTAAGCGAAATATAGATATATCTTATTCACATTGCAACATATTTAAATGTGATAAATATCTTTATGCGTAACAGAAATATATATACAAGATATACAAGAGATGTCTCTGAATAAATAAAAATATCTTGAATTCAAATGGAGATAGCTTTCAATTATTTGAAAATATCTTATGTAATTTAGTAGTAAATACATTTACATGTTAAAGCGATATATCTTTAAATGTCATATAAATATTTCTAAAATAAAACAGTTTCTTTCAAAAGGAAAAGAGGTATATGTTAATAAATGAAGATATCATAATTTCTGAGACTTTTGAGATTTCTGTTAATGAAACGTGACCACAAAATAAGCATTTAAATAACCCAGCAGAAATACAGCTAGTTCATATATATAACAGTATCGCCCTCGTTAAATGTGAGCGGATTTGGTGTATCTCGATCTTTTGAAAATTCAATGAATGGCATCCCTTTTATCGCCCACTCATACTTAAAAAGTTTAGAGTCCCTACAGGATAATAATTTCAACAACATGAACGGACCGGTTAAAGGTTTTACAAAAAAAGCGATCACTGATTCATCGGGCTTTCTTTTGCCAGTCGTAAAAAAAGTCCTTCACTGCATTTGTATCCTTCTGAATGGTTTATATACAACAGTCCTGTCTATGCTAAACTACCGACCATTTGGAATAACAAAAGAAAACGATAACGACTTGTTTGGATGTTGGGTAAATGACTGTCCCCGTGACAAGAACCACACAAGGGCTGCTGAATATTTTACATTACAAACCACAACAAGGAAGTAATTAAAACTCAGGCAGGCATAGTAACCCATCGAGGTCAACCAGATATACCGTGTACCTATACCCGTGACACATACACATTTGGCTCTTTGCCAGATCTTGTTTTATGTAGGTTTTCAGTCATATCCATTATGATTTCTTTTCACTACCTTTCACCGAACATAAAACATTTATTATCTAAAACTCAACACCCATGTTAAGGTGTAATAACGTTTTCCGAATCACTGTATCGCGTGCATTAACTTTCCCACGTCACTCTGACCTCACCCGTATGTCAATTTGACCTTGCGTCCGTACATAAGTACACAAGCACTAGAGTTTACTGACAACGATGTAGCGTGTCCATAACAAAAAGATACATGGAATGTACTTGTATTCTTGATTTTTTTTATATCATATTTCCTCTTTAATAACTTTTTCTTTTACTAATAAAACAACAAAAGACTATATTGCTCTTTTCTCATTATATTTTAACTTATAAGTAACCTCGTGTTACGTTTTAGCACGGAATTAGATTAAGCTATCTAAGTCCGTGGTTTTAGCTTGTAAACTGTGATCGTATATTAGTGTTCATTATATTCCTTTGTTTTTCCAGTGTTAGTTTGGTTTTTCTTTGTACAAATGTGTATATGAGACGAGTGCATTTTTGTCAGTAACCAGTGGATTTATTTGATTATTTGATAGGTTGGTTGTCTCAGTCCCAGGATAGGAAAGCAAGCAGCAATCCTCTGTTTAACATGACGATGAGGAGCAAGACATTGAGAGAAAAAGGTCAATATTTGGACACTGACATTAATATGGCTTAAATCTTGGAACAAAAAGATAATATCACAGGAAGTTCAAGAACTAGATATCGTAAGGATAGTTTAACTGATTTCACAGGTTTAAGTTTTCTTGTCTGAAAATCAATATAACACCCCTGTAAGGAGACAATCTTTACAGTATATCAATTTGTTTCTATTGACAGGTGTGTCTTGTTTCATAGCGAGTCTGATGGATCGACAAAGCCCGAGTCAGCAATGAGCTGTTTAGAGGGGTCCATTGGGAAACATACCACAGATTAGATCACCTGTTTAGAGGGGTCCATTGGGAAACATACCACAGATTAGATCACACAATGCCGATTTGTATTGTTTTATTCAGACATCAACAAACTGTATGGGTACAACTGTAAAAATAAAGTCATCGATATTTTGTTTTGTTGATGTAAGGGCTATTCCAGTAAAACACCTATCACACCCCGAACTCCAGATTTTGTTCATGGATACCGCAACAGAATTTAAGTAACGATTTGCATAGAACTAATCGGCAGGAAACCCAACCATGGATGGAGGTGACTTAAATTGGAATACTGGAGTTCGGTAAATTTTCACTGTACAGCCCTTAGCATAGTTCACAATGATGATGCATAAAACAGGTTTAACATTCATTTTTAAATTGACACCTGGTTAATGTTGTTTTTCAGCTACCACAAGGATAGCATACTTTGAGTTGATGCTTTAATTATAAAATATATATGTTTATATAATATGAGCATACTTAATCATTAAATGCTAGGATAAGCAACACTTGAGATACTTATTTTGGAAGTCCGCACTGAACACAATAGAGGCACCTGTCACTGTTTATAGCTGCCAGTGAGTTGATTGGTCCGTCTCTCGGTATTCCGTTTTGTTGGTCATGTATAACACCAAAGTTATACTTACTAAAGTCATCAATAATAAATATAATATTTACGGCCTATGTACACACGAGTTAAAAATGTTCCAGTTAAGAATGATCTCGGCATCAACTGTTGAGTCTATGAGGCTGGTCCGGTACCTAGGAATTACGTCAGCATCAACTGTTCAGTCTATGAGCCTGGTCCGGTACCTAGGAATTACGTCAGCATCAACTGTTGAGTCTATGAGGCTGGTCCGGTTACTAGGAATTACGTCAGCATCAACTATCACACTGTCATGATCACGAGGAAGAACTCAGCCTCACCTGTGACACTGTCACCATCACAAGGAATACATAATGATCACTGTGGCACACAAATGACCATCTTTCACACAATAAGCCAAGAGGAATGAGCACTTCTTGTTGTTTTGAGTAGACAGTCACTTGTTTGTAACGTTCTCCTACATGCAGACACTGTCAGTGATGTTTGGCCCGCCTATTTCTGGACTCGCTTGAGGAAGATGATGACAATTTTCTTCTTCCGCTCATCTCTCCTTTCATACTGAAGAAAGAAATAACACATTTTTTAAAAATTAATTTGGAGGACAGGACCAACAAAGCTCAGATTCTCATCCTTCACTTGAATAACGTCCAAATCAGGACCAACAGTTTGTTTATGATCAAATGATGCAGTAGATAACTTTTTGGTGTATTTGTTTTCATTAGTCTTAACCTTTTCACCCCTATGTAACTTTAGTAGACTCTACCATGCATTGATCTGAATGAGTTCATTATGGTCTACAGTGGAGAAAGGGTTAAAAGAGCAAGTTGAGATTGAAAAAGTATGTGCCTGACTTTAAAGGGAGTGTGTGGTAGACACAGCTGTTGAGACTGGTACCAACTTTACAATGAGGGCACACACCTCTATGGGAGAGAAACTATCGAATAGCACTGGTACCAACTTTACGATGAGGACACACACCTCTATGGGTCAGAAGCTGTCGAATAGCGCTGGTACCAACTTTACAATGAGGACACACACCTCTATGGGAGAGAAACTATCGAATAGCTCAGGTACCAACTTTACAATGAGGACACACACCTCTATGGGAGAGAAACTATTGAATAGCGCTGGTACCAACTTTACGATGAGGACACACACCTCTATGGGAGAGAAACTATCGAATAGCTCAGGTACCAACTTTACAATGAGGACACACACCTCTATGGGAGAGAAACTAT